TTTCACACAGAAATATTTAGAGTGGGAGAAATGCGACCAAACTATAGACTGCTCCAAGCTGAACAACATTGGCCCTAACGCTGGCAACCCTGGACACTCATCTACCTCAAGCATTTTCTCCGCATTGATGTAATGGATGTGTCCCTGAAGGTTCTTGTTTTTTTGCATGTTTCCTCGGGGCAGGCTGCTGTTGTGCTCTTAATGCAGCACCCAAACAGCATCCAGAGGCTATGGATCACAGCAGCCTTGGAGCAGCCTCTCAGGCTTAATGTTGTGTGAGTGCTGCGAGTATTGATTCCCTGTGTCACCTATGATTATAAACACAGATTAATAGACAGTAAGTTTTCAGCCCCGGGCAGGGAAAAATGTTAGGGGAATGACATTTTGCAGCAGTGTTTGGCTCCATGTTTTGGTCGTTTAATAGAGATGTGACAGCTCGACCTTCGATATATAGCATAAAGTTTCACTTACAATCTGTCCCAGAGGAGAATTTATCTGTTGCTTTTTCCTGTGGTGTGAGAAGTGCATTGAATACTAAGTAAGCTTTCCCTCAATGTATTTCGCCTCTGTTGTTAAATAATTATAAGACACATTTACAACCTGTGTTAAAGGATGCCTCTATTTGTCATTTTTTGGTATAACACAACATTTTGTTCGCAGTTTTTATGATTTCATGTCAGGCTCCATCATATAGAAGATTTATTTATTTTCCCATCTGAGTCGAACACTGATTTTGATAGCTACCATAGGAGATACAAAGTGTTGTGTCGGCGTTCTGTGTGAAGGGATTTCAATGTGACCCATGTGTCTGTCCCTGATAATACCAGAAGTGACTTGTGAGTGTTAGGGTCAGGGATCAGGAGCCTCCCTTATGAGATTTTTTGAACATCACAAGCTAACTCAATCCAGTTATCTTGTGTAACCAAACAAGGTTTTCTGGATCAGTTGATGCCAAAGGTGAGAAACCAAAAAGGCTTTACATCATTTAGCTTTGTTAATTCATTCACTGTCGCCGCTGCTGTGAAATTCCATTTAGATAGAGTTTCAAATTCCTCCTCACATTATGCTGTGCCAATTTAAATGCATGAGAGGAAATAATAGAAATGTGAACACTATGGTTATTGTCATCCTAATGGGGAATAATTGCTCTGTACCACAGAGAAATGGTTAAATTCTGCAGGGCTTTGCACTTTCAGTTTATGACAGCCTGTTCTCAGCACGACATCTCAACTCCTTTTTTTTTTATGTCACAGTGTTACTTCAGCTCTTGACCATATACCCACATGGCAGCCATTTTTAATGTTATCATCAGGGAAACCCAAATACTATTATAATGACCTTCAGACGTGTCACATGTTTTATTTTGATGTAGTAAACCAACCAATCATTATCATTTCCCTACTTCGGCAGCAAAAACAAAACAAGACAATGAACAGTAATAGGGACATATTTCACATTTAGACACATTTTTTAATAACTATTAGCTATAGTCAACCAGCAGTTAAATTTAGCACAAGGCTACAGATAGGAAGTGACAACCTTACATTTAGTTCTATTATTAGTTCAGTAGGAAAGGCCTCACATAAAATTCTTAAAGTAATGATGGCTAGATTAGCAAATGTTAGCTAATGTAACCTAGGAAGTGGCTGAATGCTAACATTATTGTTGGATAGTTATTAGCTACCATCAGAATGCGTCTTAGACATTAGACTATATTAGAATTTATAGTTCAAATTTACCTGTGACAATCACAGTTTCTCTGCATTTATCATCTGTAAAACCAGGAACACAACAGTACAATTTTATGGAAGCATTTGAGCCTTGCCCTGAGTTTTATGACAGAGAAGAATGGCCACCAAGGGCACCTAGTGAGTTCAGATCTACTTTAGTCTAATTGCTGCACTTAAATCTGCAGCACAACCTTCAATCAACACTGACACCCTCTGCCCCAAACACAGACTAAAAACCTTCAGAGTTTTTGTTCAGTAAGGACTATGATCGTCAATCACCTCTCAATTCTAGCCTACTCACATTCATGTCCTGGTAATTACAGTATGTTTCCAGCCTGTGTAATTTTTCTTTTTAAATGCTACCTTCACAGGTTTTTCTCAGTCCCTCTAAATGATACAACACTAAATACCGTGTTGTACTCAGCAGGGCTGAATTTCAGGGTGATGTGACTCCACAGTGGCATGGTGATGTCCTCATCCTGTCCAGTGTGATGACTGATACAGGGATGAATGTGTGTGTCGCCTGCATGACAGACTGAATGCCAGTGTAATTAAAGGTTGGTGGAGGGTGGGCAATAATAAGCTGTCTGCACACAGATGATAGTTTCCTCCTATTTCTGCTTGAATACCCACTCTGCCTCCCACAGAGTGTTTGTCTCCTGTTTCCATCATGACACAAACATGTTGTTTGCCTCCCTCTGCTGAGACTCAGGCAGGGAAGTTGTGTCAGATGTTTGATTAGCCTCTCCGACTTCCTACCACACTTGGGGGTGTTTCTGCGGTCACACACTCTACGCAGAATATTCTCATTAATAACTAGTGGTTGTTTTCCCCTGTGAGGACTGTGCTTTTCCCCTGTTCCTTGCAAGGAAGTCTCTATAATTTCTGAAAGATTTATGCTGACACTTTGCAGCTCAACTGAAAAAAGCACATCTTTTAGTAAAAGTAATATGGATCTGCTCTATAAATTATTTATTTTGTTTTCCTTTTTGCATTTAGCTAAAGAAGCACATTAAAGAAAATTTCTGCCTCAAGCACAAAAATGACTACCTACCAACTGGCTGAAGATGTTAGTTTTTAAACAAACAATCAAATGTAATTACAATTTGTATGTAACTTAATTGGTAGGTGAAAATGCAGATTAAAATGGATAAACAGAAGAAGATCTAAGAACCATTAAAACATTTTTTATCTCAAGGTGGGAACTTAGTGACATGTAACTATTGAGAAACCCATTAATAGTCACCAACAAGATAACCTGCAAATTGTCAATGATGTGAGTGTGACATAACAAATTGTCAGTAAAAAACAAGGTTTATATACAGTTACCCATCTGATAAGACAGTTTAAATGTCTAAAGTGACCTACCCTATTTTGAAGACAGTCCATGTTGATTTATTCCCATCTGATGGAGTGAAAAACCTGAATTTCAAACACATATATTTCACTGGTATAGCTTTGTCACTTTATCAGACCACTGGCTCAGTTGTCAGTCAAAACAGCCTGCCCCTGCAGAGGCATCTAGCTAGAGAGACATTTACAGATACACCAGCAAAAATATTTTCTCTACAATTCAGTTTGTTTCTGCCTGGTTTGAATCCAGAAAGGGCACAAACCTGCACAGCTTGACCTCATCATTTCTTTAACCTTTGGCCTCTCTAGGCAGAACTTCAATCAGGAAAAATGAGGCGGCAGATATACTGCCCACTCCCACAAATACACCTCTCCAGGGCACATTCACATGCTTTACAGCACTGACACATACACGGTGACAGGCTGTTTTCCCCTTGAAATACAATGGTCCTAATCAAAAACCTCCCTTAGGAGGAAAAGTATAAAGGACACAAATATTCAAATGTGCTGCAAACATTGTTAACTTTTCTGATTGAAATGCTGCTCATTTAACAGTGACTAAATGTTGCTTCTAGTTAAAAACAGTCCTTATGTTGTGGCCGTAACTTTATGTATTGACATTTTTATTTTTAAGTGCATAAAGCGTTGTCACTTTCAACGAAGTGCTGGAACAGATTGTTTCTTAATTTGTCCCTCTGCCAGCACCCTCATCCTGTCCGTCTCCCTCTTCCTCTCATTACTGTTGCTGCTAAGTAAAGCAGCCTCAGAGCAACCGGGCATGAGCCCGCCTGCTGTCCAATCTCCATATTAAAGCCTACAGAAAAGGTCAGCTTAACAACACCTAAACAGTTATTGACAGGTCAGGAGGACAGGCGAGGGGAAAAGGGAGAAGAAGGTCAGTAATCTGGATAAATACCATGCGATCATGACATTGAAACTGTCAAAATGTGCAGATGAGGGAGGCTAAGTGGTTGAGCTGATGGCTGCTTCTTAACAGGCGCCTGAGGAAAGATATTTCATTTAAACATTTACCTGTTTATAGACGGTGCTGCGATGCCTCTGTGTATCATAAAATCCAATTTTTAGACCTTGAGGAATGATGCATAAAAATACTTTCAGTTTGAGGACTTTAGATCTTAAACTCTCTTCGAGAGGAAATGCTGGTATCTGCTTCAAAAAGGAGTCCCTGGCTGAGTGAGGAGGTCGCTGCCTCTAATGACTCATCTCATATTTAGCATCATAGCTTTACTCATGGAGGTAAAACATGAAGAAAAGGTGAGGAAAGACAGAGGGACCCTGATGCTTTTCGTTTGTGCTTCTTCAATCCATTTTCATCTTGAACTCAGCACAGAAATGACTAAGTGAGGGGAGAGAAAATGTTGAATAGATGAGCCTCAGTCAGTGGAGCTTAATTGAAGCCCTTGATAAGTGTCATTAGCTGAATGTATAGAGCGCAAAAATGGGTCAGTGAAGTGTAGTGAGATCATATAAATGGAAGGATTTTATTTGTGGGCAGATTAAATTTGAAAACGTGGAAAGGGTGTGAAAGAGGGAAAGCGTAAAAAAAGGCAAAAAGGAGTAAAACAGTAGCTGAATAGTTAAAAAAGAATGAAGTATTATTAAATTACATCATACTTACTGAGCGGTGTGTTTTTTTATTTTCTTTGAAATGCGTATCACAACTGCTGAGATTTCTTAGAGAAATTCATATTTGTATCCTCTAAAAGCTCTGGAGTGTGCTGAACTGACATCCCGTCAGAATTAATGGCCTGATATGACAGTCCTGCTGACGCTAACACGGCTACAGTGTTTTAGTACGATCCTAACATATTAGAAGAACCTGACTGTGTGTATATATGGATAGAGTTTTGATGAGAGAATAAACATGTTGTGAACCTCCATTTGTCTCCCATGCAGATCCATCAGTGCATCACAGACAGAAGACAATGGTGACAGACATGTGCTACCCAACAGAGATATCCAGCCTGATGGACTTTGGCACTCCAGACTGCTCGCTAGGCAAAGGTACGTGTATTGCTCGTGTTGCCGTGGTGACAGCAGGAAGTGTGCATGGTGATTTATCTTGGCAGTTAAAAGACACAGAGCTGTCAGCTCGACTGGGAGATTCACACTGGAGCAGAGGTCTGCGTTGGCTGAGCGTGTGAGAAAACATGATGGCAGCTCTGGGTTCCTGGTCAGTGGGGGCTCACAGTTCCCCTCAGGCTCAATAACATGTGTTGTCACATGTTTGGAAACAAGACTGAGAGAATTGATTTACAAGCTGTATATAAAAGTGTAATTATTGCACCACTGTGAGTAGGTGCGGCACCAGGATGACAAATTCGGATGAACCTTGGAAATAATTTCAGTTGAGCCTGTTCATTTTATAACTTGAACTACAACTTTATAGCTTGTCGGTATTGATAGTTAACTTACTGACAATCTCGATAAGACAAAAATGACTGACATCATTCTCTGGGAAAGGACTAGTGAAATGATTGACTGGCAAAAATTCATTTTTCAAGTGGCACACAGCTGGTAATGCTCAAATGATGACAAAACCAGGCCTTTGTTTCTGATTTGTGTACTCTGGAATGTGTAGACCAATACACCCATTCGAGTCATACGTTGTCATTTTGATTCAATTTAAAGTAACACCATCTTATTTGACAAACTATCTGGGTAATTTCTTGTTTAATTGATAGAAGACAGGGAGAAGGATATTCGCTGGGAGAGCTTGATTGACTAGAAAACGATAGAGCAGCAAACTCCGTTGTCAGATCATGAGTTTGTCTCAACTCAAACAGAGTATTTGCTGTCAAGGAAATTAAAAAGACATTCAAAAAACTATGTCGAAAAAAATCCAAGGCATTTCTTAAAGTCCCTGTCTGCAGTCTGTGTGTATTAGTCTCAATAGTAAATGGATTGAGACATACACAATATCTGCAGTCTCAACCAATAATGCAGGTGTTCACAGCTGTACTGTGATATCTTCAAATAGATACACAGCAAACCAAACACTGGAAGAATCCTGAAAAATAAATGCACCAAAAACATTTCCTTTAATTACAGGTGATGTAAATATTTGAACTCCCATACTAACATTTAGACTTTTTTTTACTTTGGGTACTACACATGACAATTACACAATTACACCCTGCCAGCTCAAACATTATTCATTGCCACCTTCTTGCCCCTGTTACCTTCTGTTACCTCCTATGGCAGATCAGCGGCACAGCACATTTACACACTGCAGACAAGGTGTGACCAGTGTTAATATCTTGCCTCGATCTGTCAATGTTTAAAGGGCTATTGCTATCCTCTTCCCAAAGGTGATCATTTTCAACCCCAAGTGCCTCCATTGTGTAAAAACATAAATGTACTTTCCCCAATTCCCCCAAATGGTGTGGTGCTTGGTGGCACATCTCAACTGAAAACAACTTTGTCATAGACCAACAAAAATCTGGTTTAAAGACAATGGTTCAATATATTTTTGACTTTGTGTCAAGATTTTGAGATGTTCACCAATCAAAACAGGTTTAAAAGTGCCCTAAATACAATTCCACTTGCACTTCAGACCATGTGCTTTGGATGGTTCTGAGTGTTTTACAGAGAGGCCTGTGATGGCTCTAGATAATAGTCTCTCTCTTCTGAAGTAATCGAAGTGACCAGCATGTAATAATACCTACCACAGGAGTTATTGATCATAAAGTCCAATGATCGCTTGTATATTGTTGCTTGATCTGTGGGCTTTGTGTCTGTGTCCTTTTCTTGTCACTTTGACTGCTGTTACTCTCCTTTGTTCTCAAACTGATACCATACCAGAGAGCCTGGGTCATAATTGCTATTCCAATCCTTTCATCCACTACAGTCGCTTGTATATGACAGAGCAGGCTCAGTGGCTATTAGACAAGCCTCATGTCATTTTCATCAACAATGTGCAGCGACAGTGGTGACCTCAGTCACTCATTCTCCGCCATTCCTCTCCCCGAGCCCATCACTTCTGCTTTCTGTCTCTTTTTTTTCTTTTCTTTTCTTCCCCCCCCCCCTTCCACCTCCTCTTCTCTCTCAAGGCTAGCTAATATTTTAATGCTGCTCTGTCCCGGCTCTCTATCAACACTCCCCAGCACTGATAATGCAGACTGACAGGTCAACCGTGTGCAACTGAAAGAAGCGAGTGCAGTACAGCAGAGGGAGAGAGAAAAAAAGAAGGCTTTTAGGATTTCTTCTGGCTTTAATGTGAGCAAAGCAAATGAATGACATAGTGATACAGAGAGTTAAGCCACAGAATAAGGACACAGAGGAGTGGAAAATTTCAGACTGAGGAACTGTCAGGTTAAAAGCAACGCTGTGAAAGAGCTTCAGTGTAGCTGAGAGGCAGGCTACAGCATGACCTTGGAATTATGATGGGCTACATTTGGTCAAGTGTTTCTTATTCAAAGAATATGTTGAGACTCTATTTCAATATAAGTTGTTATAATTAGCCAGAGTTATAACACTATTTGTGTCAATAAGATGTGTTGGCTGTTATTACTACATTGATGCTCATAAACATGCTCTTACTATGTATGCATTGCCTTCTAATGAGGTTTTAAATCATCTGTAAAAGAGGTATTGTTTGATTTGTTGTCTCAGCTTGCATCAGTCAGACAGAAACAAGTCAGAAACGTGACAGTAATCCTTGAGGTGTCAGTGTGTGATTGACAGATCCATTGCCTCATGTGACAAGTATCTGGTTAGGGCGCTTCTGATCTTCGGAGGGAGCTAAAACACTGAGTGTCAACCTCTGACAGGCAGCACAAACACCCCCCCCCCCCCTCGCTCTGAGCTGGCGTCTTGTCTTTAAATGCAAAAAGGTTCAACGCATCTTTCTCTTTTGTACACAAACGCAAACACATTAAGCTTGCACTTTTCTTTTAGTATGCTAGTTGTGTCACTCTTCTGCTCATAAACTAAAGAAAATCCATTATAAGTTTATATGCAGCCATGGTCTAAAGGCTGAATTAATTCTGCTGCGTCCCTATCTGTTTTTCTCGTACCACCTGTACCTGCCTGAGGGTTTCAAGCCCTAAGAGCCCTGTGAGGCAAACCGGACCTCTGTAACTGTGTCCACACACAGCCAAATTCCCATCAGTTATGACACAGACTGCCCTAATGCCAGACAGAAGAGGGGTAAAAGATAACACAGGAAAGTTCTTACTAATTATCCAATCTTGAGTGTAGAGGTAAGGATGAACCTCACATCAGTCCTCCTTCCTGGTCCATTTTTCAACGTGGTTATACAAATGTTACACTTACAGCATTTTAATACTAAATGTGCAATCCTATCTCTGCGGGTCGAAGCACACGTCCAGATTTCAGGAAGCGTCTAATGTAAACTTGTGTGGGCTACAAAGACTGCATGGGCTCAGAGGGAGTGCATGACTTTTAAACATGCAGTAAGGTGCTTTATTGTTCTCTGTTCAGCGTAATTGATCTCGCCCTCCTCTGCTTGCTCACGGCCATGAGGTGGAGTGAGAGCTCCACTGACTCACCTGCTTTATTACCTGAGGCCTGAGGTGCAGTTTGTTTTCCCCTCCCCCTCTCATCTGTACTCTAGAGAGGGGGGGAAGCAGTAGTGGGCATGGGGTGAAAGTTGTCCTAGATGCTGCAGGGCGTGTCACTAAACAGGTACATAGAAAGTGGAAAAGAAAGAAACAAAAAACAGAGAACAGACAGAGAGAAAAGGAGCAGGAAATGTAACCAAGCAGCTTTCTGGGGTCGGGCGGAACACAGACTTCCTGGTAACCTGTCTGGGTGGAGCCTCAGCTAGCAGGGCTGGGAGCGGCCGGCTGTGTTGGTGCAGTCAGTATGTTGGTTTGAAAGGTGTGTGCACTGATCTGTAAGTCTACATGTGATGTGTGTGTGTGTGAGTCTATGAAGTGTGTGTTCCTGTTTTTTCCCACCTGCTATGAGAGCTCACACCACAGTTGACAGTGGAGTCAAGCGGAGCCTGTGCCGAGGAGGACATGAGGTCCGAGAAGGAGGAGGGGAAGGCCGGTGAGTGACAGAGGGGGAGATAGTGGCGTAGGAAGATGTTGCTTGGGTGTGCACTTCAGGCCATAAACGTCTTTAGTGTGTGTGAGTAGGCTCAAGTGCACGTGTGTGCGTGATTGCCTGTGTTGATTGTGTGAAAGGAATTTGAATGACGAACCCAACAAAAATCTAACTTAAACTAACAATGTTTGACGTTGAATGGGATTCATACAGTGATGGAAGGTCAAGCCTCTGCCACACTATATTTATTGGGGAAATCAAGTCCTTTTTTAATTAGAAAGATGTCATCCATTTATCATTAAGAAGATATTGTTTTAGATTCAGCTACCTCACATTAGGTAGGTAATGGAGGGCTGGAATTTAAGCTTGAAGTAATAAAATGCCTGCATTCGTCATCTTTCGGTGACTTGTATGTCACCAAATGGTGAAGAATGGTGAAGAAGAAATCCATGACCTTTAACTGTCATCTTTTTTTATATTCATCCCAAAACACAGAGACTTTTTAATTTAATTTTACCAAAGACCAGAGACCTATTCCAGTTTTGACAGACTGTTATGTTACAAAGACTTGTGTTAAAATAATATCTGGGGCTATACTCAAAACATTCGGGACTTGAGCCCCAGTAAAAATGACCTGGCGACGTGCCTGCTAAAGACACATTTGCCTTAATGATATATATTTGAGAGAGTAGGATCAGAGTTCACTTCCATTTCTTCCTAAATATATCTAAAACATGTTAATTTGTATCATCCAAATAGCTTCCAGCGTGCGTTATGACTACAAACAACTTAAATCAATTCAGTTTGAATATAAAGTGGACAACATTTATCCAACCTGAACCATCTGAAATGTTAAGATGCTGTTTATTCTAACAGATATTTATAACAGCATTACACCTGGAAAAAGGTGCATTTTCCATCATGACGATAAATAACTTTTCTTAGATGTTATGACCCTAAAAACACTTCTTCTGTACTTAAAGTAAAAC